CTCTGCGGTGATCTTGGAGCCCAAATAAATGAAGTCTGTTACTGCTTCTGTTTCTACCCCTTCTATTTGGCAGGAATTGATGGGTCCAGATGCCATAATCTTAGTTTTTTTAATGTTGAGTTTCAAGCCAGCTTTCGCACTCTCCTCTTTCATCAAGAGGCTCTTTAGTTCTTCTTCACTTTCTGCCATGAGGGTGGTATCGTCTGCATATCTGAGGTTGTTGATGTTTCTCCCTGCAATCTTAATTCCAGCCTGTGATTCTTCCAGCCTGGCATTTCTCAGATGATACTCAGTTATATATCTCCAGCCCAGGCCTGTTGGGAGAGGCAGTAGGAGTCATGACCTGGAGACTGGAGAGTGTCAGGGTCTGGATGTAGACAGTAAAGAAGATGACCTTGGTGGAAATATGCAAGAGCCGTTACCTAGGCAAAAGGGGCTGAAACACGCTTCAAACTGGAAAAAATGGAGGAGAAATCCTGTGCCCCCAATTTTTCTGGGTTTTCATTAGTCCTTTCCAAGCTTCCAAATTCCTTCCTGGAGAGGTTTATAAAATACTTCCACTGAGGTCAATGGAGATCTTTTTTCTTTTTTAACCTCTTACAGGGAAAGTAATGTTGGTCTCTCTTCTTCACTCCATGTGTGGTATTGTCTAGCACGCACCAAGTTTCCTCTCTACTAATTAAACCCCTCAAGAAATAGAACTCAAGTTGCCGAGAATGCTGGTTCCTCTCCCCACTCCAGTGCCTATAGCATCTTACTGAAATTTGGTTGGGCTATGGCCTCTGATTTCTCTATGTGATGTTAGCACGGTGTGTTATGGGTAAACCCAATAGGAAATGCTGTAACATGTACTGTGGGCTTGATTCAGGCACACACATTCCTGTTTCCTTCCAAAGGCCAAACTACACATTACACACAGTTGAAAGTTGACATGGGATTTGTTAACAAAGAAGTGGCCAATGGAAGAATTCGAAGCACCCACCAAAGCTGAGAAGGGTATGCAACCTGTTCCCTGTTATGCCTACTGTTGTGGTGAGCAAATGCTGAACATGGTGGGGGAATTAGAGGCCAATTCTCACAGGCCATTTGTTACTTGTGGAGCAATGAATTAATCTTTTTCTGGGTAGTTTGAGGCACAAAATACTATTTTTGAAAAAGGATGACTGGGAAGTGGGATGCAAGAGTCCATAAACAACTTGCTTGTGGTGAGTAATCCCATTTTTCTGTGCATTGTGAGAGATGCCACCAAACCCTGAATTAATGCTACATCAATGTCTACCTTTCCTTTTCTGCAGGTGTTTATATATCTCTTTCTTCCCTTTGTACGATTCTCTTTCAGAACAAAGGAAGAACCTTGTGGTTTCTCTGGTCCTGTGATGTTTAATTAGCAACATGAAAGGATGTAATATATCTCACATAAACTTTTATTACTAGAGGTTTGTTACACATTACTGTCACCTGGCTGCACAGTGATTGAAGGAGTGCAGGGAGTCTGGTCCCTACTCCAGGAAGCAACATATGGTTTCTTTGGGTGGACTTGCTTAGATTTGTTTACAGGCTGAATCTCAGTAGGGTACAGGCGTTGCTACAGGGTGTGTGTCCTCAAAGCTTCATGGAAAACATGAGCTTTGAGCAAAGGTGGGAGAAGGATGCTAGGATATCACACCTATTTGGGTCTGCTGGAGGTTGTACTCCAAAAAATGAGAGGGTCCAGTGTATAAACTTACTTTGCTTTGAATCACAGTGAATGGATGAAATGTGACTTCTGCGTAGGTATGATAATCACTCCCTGGGTGTTAGTCCTTTCCCTTGGCAGTGCATTAAATCTATGGTTGGTAGCAACCCTTGGAAGGACTGTGAGGGTCGTGTGGTCCCTTTCATCTCAGCTGGTGCCTCCCAGATAAAGGAGGAGGCCCACACCTGTCCATCTCTTGCTTACTCTAATCATTTCAGGTGGAGACAGAAAAGGGCATGTGGAGATGTCTATTGTTCTCAATGCTACCCAGAACCAAAATACAGCAGATTCTTGCTCTTCCCAGGGAGGTAGAAGACAGCAAAGAGTTGCAACATGGCATGCAGGAAGGAATGGCCTCATTTCTCTACATGGCTTTGAGTTTTCTGGGGTCTATTAAAAGCCCTTCCAAGTGGGTAGAAAGTAACTCTGGCTTAGCACATCAGAGTTGGGGAGACTCTGTGGAAGAATGTGCCATTCTCCACATTAAGAACAAGGGTAGAAGTTGAATTCACATACCGTCGTCGTCCTTCTAGCTCAACACTC